GGAAACTGTCCAAGCTATCGGAGCTAATTTTTGCAAGACTTGTCGCGGAAAAAACATTGAGATTTTGACTCAGATTGCACTTTTAATTTTATGGCTGTAAGACAAGAAATGAAACTGGTATCTTCGGCAGATATGACACTGTATAGGCACCTAATCAGACATGTATAATGTATGCGGCAAGACTTACAGATATATAATATAGCTCGTGTTGAAGAAAAGATTAAGCGAAAACAAGATTCCAAAGTCTTTTTCAGAATTCTGTCTGCTGGTAAGTATTATTGGAAATATTATTTCAGAAACTTATGATATTTTGAGTGAGGTTTAGAGGTTCTACGAGATGATGACCAAACATCGAGTCTCATTCGACATCATTCTGGTAATATTTCGGAAATCAGTGTGAGCGAGATCGGAATGGCTGTCTAGTACATAAAATTAATCAATGCCTTATTTGAGGATAAATTTAAAGCGTCCCTTCTGAAAGCGAGTGGGTAATGATCTATTCCGTTCGCCCTTGTTTAAGTCCCCAACCACGCATTGGTGCAAAGCTGTGGGCATGGAGTTTCTTGCCCTAAAAACCTCTTAGAAATGGGAAGAAGCCTGTCCCTAGGGAATGGTACATACCTATTTAGGTAACAACCAACTTTACTGACATATTTAGGCTGTAGTTTACCAGGAATAGTGATTGTGTGATTCGATTTGGTGAATACTTGTTAGTCAGCAGAGTGCACGGCGTGGAGTCGACTTTGTTATTTGGTGTGTTCAGCAATTATATCTTCCTTACAGCTCTTTTATACGCTCAGAGATTATCAAAACATTAAGATCTTAATCACTGTCATTAAGATTCTTAAGTTTTAAATTAAACGTACGTGAGGGCAATATGGTCACCTTAACCTTTGCCGTCCTACAAAACCAAAACTAGGAGAAGGACAGACACAAAAACCCAAAGTTGTGTACTATAACCAATATATTTAAAAAAATACAAACAAGCTTTGAAAATAATTAGGTACATTTCGACAAATCTACTTAAAAACAACTAACTACACATCAAAGTAAAATCGACAAAATAAATTGCTATAATGACAACTTTTAAAATGGCGTCGTTAAAGCTGCGCCCTTTCGATCCTTTATAATTTGATTGACCGATGAAGATCTATCGTATCATAAAGCCTACAAACCGTACAAACAAGGCTGTACATTTTGGGTTATAAAAAAGTGATAATATTACCCGGATGACCATATTATTACCCGGAAGACCATATTACCCGGATGATCATTTCATAGTTATCACGCTTGGCAGGCTCGCTTGGGTTGGCAATCTCAGTTTTTATTATTATTTTGAGTGTTGTTATGAAGATGGTGCTGCTGCATTTCTCCAGTTTCTCTCTGTTGCTTATTACGAAACTCACGGGATGATATGAGGAAGTGCATTTACTCCGCCACAATTCATATAGCGAATTTATTGAAATGTATATATGAAAATATATTTAAGTTAACTTTATTTGGGATAAATTGTGGTAACAATTTTACAAAAATTTTAGGCTTGTAGCTTTAAATGTCCTACTTTCGGTGACCGAAAAATTTCAATAATTGAGTAACTTTTTGTACTGAATAGGCCTATTTGACTTAAACTTGTGTTGATAAAAACGAAAGTAGTTTGGTTTTCGGTAGCATTGACATTTATTGGTGATATCAATACCGTATTTTAAAAATTAAAACATTTTTAGGATTGATGAAATAATAAAGGAAAGTAGATTAGAGGTGATAAACGAGCACACAGTCCTCCCGCTGTTAGATGCTGTGGTCCATAGACATCTACATATTTCCTCGATTAATCGAGGAAAATAGCAGCAATTTTACCCTCGTATTCCGTGAGAACGTATTCCATCCTCGATAGAGCCAACCCATTTGTGATATAACCATAGAATACTATAATACATACATAATAGAACAGGGGAGTGGGCTAAGCCCGCGTAGCCACTTAAATGTCACTAACATGTCAATTCACACATATAAATATCAACACGAGATGTATTTTGACGTTACAATCGTTTCCTAATTTCGCATGCAAATTATTTAAAAAATGCCAAATTGCACCCTATTTACAATTATATTTAAACCAGAACCCATCAGTGGGAGCATCATTACTTAGCGACAGGAATAAGTATTGTTTCTATCTAAACACATTATACATAACAGCCTATGTTTGTTAAATAGAAGTTCATATCGTGGCTGAAATTGGCCAACACCATCATTCTAAGAGCCGAGTCTTGAAGAGACTTTTTAACGTATATGTTTTACACGAGTCCGCATTTGAACCCAGATCTCTTAGTATACAAGATGTACCGTACTTTTTTGACGGTGCTTGCCATCACCAGTTTGGATATTTTACATACATCTGGTATATGCGAGATACAGTATGTGCTTTGTGGCATTCCTTGGGGGAGGCCTATGTTCAGCAGTGGACTTGTAAAGAGCTGTGATGATGATGATGATGATATGCATGTTTGTGATATCGTTACATATCGGAATTTTGCAATATATTTTATACGTGACAGACCTATGCTGCAGCGTAACATAAGTGCAACACGAACGACCTCGTTTACACACAATACGAGTGAGAAATAACAGCAACCAGAATCGGAGATTCCTTTTTTTTGTAGAATACGAATGACAAACAAGCACTCATTTCACCCGACGGTAAGTGAATGCTGTGACCCATAAACTTCTTAATTTATCTTCAATTAAGGATTAAATTGCAGAAGTAATTGTTACCCCTGATGACTAGGATGGAATGCTTCATATCTAGTAAAAAGGGTCTACGTTCTTTACACCCACCACACGAAACCCATCGGCATCGAGCTACAAATTTACGCCGGCATTCTGTGAGGAAGTGACCCTTCCTCAGAAAAGCTAATCCATTCGTGCTACCATAATATTGCTGTTGCTGATGGCATAGCTGCTGCTTTTTACCAAGAAAAAGCGTTTTACACGTGCTATATTTACGCTTAAACACTGGGGAGTCATCGCATCTGAATTTTGTTTATTATTCAAAAAGAGATGTACAAGGGTCACAAAATCCACTTACTATAGCTAGACTGTGTGCGTAAAAAAGTTTTTGAATATTTTTGTCTATTTCAGCTGTAGACACTGCTGCAGTTATATAAGATGTATAGTTGTAGCACGAATGGGTCGGCTCGACCGGGAAGGACCACGCTCTCACAGAATACCAGCGTGAAATAGTAGGTTAATGCTGCTGTATTTCGTATGGTGAGCTTAGAGAACCGGAGACCCATTTACTGGACACGAGGCATTCCATCTTAGTCCTCACGGGTGACAACGCATCTGCATTTTGATTCGTAATCGAGGATAGATGTAGATGTCTATGGGCCGCAGCAACCACTTACCATCAGGTGGACTGTGTGCTCGTTTTTCACCCTGTCCTATAAAAAAAATTACTACCTAATTTATGATATGATTACGTAAGAAATTGGTTTCATAATAGCCTCAGTCCCTTTCAAGTACTTTTTAATTTGCTACAGATAAAAAGTCGGTCGTTTAAGTAATATGCTTTGTGCGAGATTAATGCGTTAAGTTGGCCGAGAATTGTGAAAACTCGAAACATTTTATCCCCCGTAGTTATTTATGTATAACTGCAGAAACATTATCACAATGCATCGCAAACTGGTGACATCAGCCCACGTTACGTTGAGACGAAGTGGCAATTTCTAATCAATAGACACACGTGATCGAAATTGAGACATATAGTAATCGAAAGTGCTAACGGATCTAAATATCAAACGCGATCGCCTTACAAATGAAGCTGTATTGCCTACTCCGGCCGTTAAGAATGTGTTGTAAATATTATTATGAGAATAGATTATGTAGTTTCTTAGAAAAAAAAAATTACTGCGAGTACTTAACAATATCTTTGTGTAGATTGTTTTAATTTAAATACGTTTCTTTTATTTTTAAACTCATTTAGTGCATGTTACACAATTTCATTAAATTACAACTTTCTCTTATAGGAGAGAATGTGAAAGAATGCCGATGGCTGCTCTCGTTTTTGCTGTCCACTAGTTTGTTCGTGGTGAAATTTTAATTTATCTTTAGATTCAATATCTGTTTTCGTCTTGTTTGTCAATCTATAATAGTCCATAGCTGAATATAGGTCTTTTCTATCATAGGAGGGATTTTCTGTAAACACCATGACGTGCAGGTAAAGTGCCGATTGAATGTTTTCGACGTGTTGGCGATGTTACGAACCTATCGTTTACCTACGTGATTTCTGGCTTTTCCCATAGTCGCATCTTACTAGCGTATGAAATGGACTTACACAGCCACCACACGTCAGGTATTTACTAAAGTAGTAAACTGTAGTGCATCTGCTGGTCATCAGTACCCCGAGCACGAATAATAAGCAATTGCGTCATGAATTCGTATAGAGTCAACTATGCGAAAACCAAAACCAAACTGTGGCTATAGTCGTCGGCAGCACGAACGCTTATCTCTTATTCACGTGTACTCGATACAATAATGTAACTGAATGTAACTATATGTAAACAAACCTTAGACCACAATATTAAAACGAACGAATGAAAATGAATGACACGTTTAGAAATTGCTACTATTGTATTTGTTAAGTCTTTTATTGTACGTAAAAATAAGAAAACATAATGAAACTTATTAATAATCATGTGTTAATTAACGTAAAACACTTATTAAACAAGTTCACTATTTCTGTAATTATTTAAGTAGGATAATTTTTTATGTTTCTTATTATGTATTTTGAGTTGTGATTTCGGAATGCGGCCACTTTAAGATTAAGTTTAAACACTTGACTCTTGCGGCGCTCTAGTTTTTCATATTGTGCTTCATACTAGTTTGTGACTGCGCTTCGTGTTGTCGTAGAAAGTTTTTGTATTTGTATTTAGTATTTTTGGCTGAATTTCTTTACAATGTCAAGAACTAGCCCCACACAATTTACAATAATGGTAGAGTTCATGGAAAAGTAAGTAACTGATTGATACACAACAACAATAATTATATATTGATGACTGTTTAAGTAATGAATATTATGTTTATTTCTAAGGAATGGTGACTTATCTAAACCTCAAAATTTACCGCACGGGCGACTGTGGTGTATTAGGAAGTGGAAGGAGTTAAGCGATTTGCTTAACAGCCAAGGAATTGGAGAGTCTCGAAGTGAAGAAAAGTGGCGAAAAGTAAGTTCTAGTTTCATTGTTCCTAAACCTTCATTACAAATCAAGAGCGCTTACCTACATAGAGTTTTAAAAGCAAGGCTGATTTTGTGTAGTCAAAATTTTAAGTTAATTATCGTTTTATTTGCTTTGCTAAAGGTGTGGAGTGATTTAAAAAACAACACGAAGAGGAAGTGGGCCAAAATTAATAAAACTGCTCATGGTACTGGTGGTGGGCCTGCCTTAAAAATGTGTCTCACAGATTTGGAGAATAGGGTGCTGTCGATAATGGGTGTCGAAGCAGCAACTGGGATGGCCATAGCTGAAGTTGGTTTTAGCACGGTTTGTTAAATTTTTATCATGAAATCAATATCAAACTAAAAAAGCGCTCATATAAGTTACGAACCCCAATTCTGAATTACCTTGCTGACTTTTTTAGAATATATATTCATCATCACTATTCTAGTTTAGCAAACCTTTCATACTTACATAAATAGAACATTATTAGAAATCAAAAACTTTAATTTTACGATTTAATATCATAATAACATGATGAATTCTTTCACTATGAAAATATGACATACAGAAACTAATTTATATAAATGTAAATAACTAGAATAAGGCTAATAACCTATATTATTTTGCAGGTAGAAGAATCTGAAAAAGTAAGCAAAACTGTTTTTATACCTGTGGAGCCAGTAAATACAGAGGATATAATAATTGTACCAAATGAAGTTCCTGCTACTGGTAAGTCTTCAACTACTCATATATATAAAAAAAATTAATGACTAATATGAATTATTTGTAATTATTATTTATTTTGATTTTCAAATAACCAGGACCCATGTTGCCACATGTAGCTTTATATAGCATTACATATTTTACATTACATATTTTATACGTGGTAGAGCCATCCTGCAGTTATACCTATTAGTAGTATAGTTGTAGTACGAATGGTTCGGCTTGACCGGAGAAAGAGCTTAATGCTGCTGTGTTTTGTATGGTGAGTGTAGAGAACCGGAGACCCTTTTTACTGAAAACGGGACATTCCATCTTAGTCCTCACGGATGACAACGCATCTGCATTTTGATTCGTCATCGAGGATAGATGTCGATGTCTATGGGCCACAGCAACCACTTACCATCAGGTGGATTGTGTGCTCGTTTGTCACCCTTATTATATAAAAAATCTTTTAACTTACAAATACTTATTTTTAACTATATGAAAAGTAAATAATTGTAAAATAAATGAAGATAATTCTGTAAGAAGTTCAAGTTTTCAATTGGTTTTTTCAGATGATGAGGACTGGAATACTCCTGGCTGCAGCAAGGATCCAGTAGTTATACCTCCAAGCAATCACAGATCCCTCACACCACCCCGATCCCCAACATCTCCGCAATCTGCCACACAGCCGAAATCTCCCACCCAGTTGCCCCCCAGGCAACCCACCCCACAACCTCCACTTCAGCGCCGCCAATCCAAGAAGAAACAACTTAAGTCATTAGAGGAATATTTCTTTTTGTGTGAGGAGAATATAAGAAGTGATAACAGAGAGAGAGAAAAGATGTTTGTAGAGTTAGAACAAGAGAGGATTCGACAGAGAGATATCGAGCTCCATCAGCGTGATAGTGAGCTACAGTTGCAAGCTCAGTGGCTGGAATTTATGCGGGGAGCATTAGATATTTTACAAAAATATTTGGATGATAGAAAATGAATGAATGAGAGTTTTAATTTAGACTTTTTAATAGAATAATGGTGATAAATGAGCACACAGTCCATCTGATGGAAGTGGATCATGTGACCCATAAATAACTACATTTATTTTAGATTAAAAATCAAAATGCAGCTGAGATGTCTGAGGACGCTTGTGAGCTAATATGGAATGCCTCGTTTCCAGTAAACTCACCATATGCATTAAGCTACTTGGCAATATACCGTGAGGACCGTAATATAATATAATTTAAGTTTTTAGTTTTAGTTTTTTATGGTAATAAATATTGCATATAAATAAGAATTAATTGTGATTTTTGTAGTATTAATGTACCTATTTAGTAATGTAATGATATATATGTTTATTAAAATATCTCATTGAAATTGTTAATGTATTTTTTATTCAAACTTAATATTAATACCGATAAAAATAAATAACACTTAAAATCTAAATCGTAATAACAAAACCATTCAAAGCGTTTTTCAAACTAAATAGATATACAACATAACATGGAATCAAATTCAATAGAAATAGACGTTTTTCTGTTCAATACATATTAAGAGTACCTACTTATTGAAAGTCACTTTTATGTTTAATTTACCACTGGTTCGGAAAATACGATGAGTTATAGCGCTGAGGGCCTCGGGTTCAAATCCCGCACGGAACAAGTATGTGTATGGCCTAAAAGTAATTGTCCCGGCTCTGGGTGTTTGTCCTTGTGCAATTTATGTTTGTAAAATGCCTCCACGATACTGGAGAAAATCCTAGTGAGGGGTAACGTTTTTTAAAAAGTAAAGAAGTAAAGTAAAAAAAATATTAGCAACAAAATCCAAGGTAAATTAAAAAAATGTTTACAGTGAAGTATTATATTATATAATTAACTATACAAATCATATTAGAAATGGCTTGGTAGCGACTACCTCATTCCCAGGGGTAATTAGCATCCATTATTTCCTTAATATTATAATAACTATTTTTATACAATACATGCTTAATAAATTTTGTGAAGTTGTCAGTGGACGAAATTTTGTTAAAAATTAATGTAAATTACGAAAAAAGTAATAAATAGATCATTATTATTATTGTTAATATAAAATTCAATTTGGGCATATGCACATATTACATATGTATAGAAGAACTACGCTGCAGTAAGTCTACCTACAAGAATTCTTCTCATAGCACGGCCTCTTATTAAATCACTCTGACTACTATCACTTCTAATACATAAAGTGGGTTGATTTACGTTTTCAGTTAAATTGTTATCATATACATCTGCCTCTGGGTCAGGTACGCCAAATTGCATAGCTATGTTATGTAGTACACAACAAGCTATAATTATTTTGGCGCATTTTTCTGGTTTGTAATGCAGAGTGCGATCCTTGTTTACACATCTCCACCTATTTTTCAATCTTCCAAAGGTATTTTCTACAACCACTCTCGCTTTCCCGTGAAGTAAGGTATAATTAGCTTCAGGGCTTCCCTCTACAGCATCAGGAATGGGTGTCATTAACCATGGCCTTTGTGGATATCCAGAATCACCTGCACCAATTATGAAAATGTATTATTTATATTATAAAAAGGATGATATTCATTATAAAAAGTATTAAAAATAATTATAAAAATTAAATTGGAAAACTAAAAAGGACATTTAATTAACCTGTAAAAAGCATTTTTTGAAGCTAACATAATAACACAACTTACCAAGTAGCCATACTTGTTCATTGTTAAGATGTAATTCTTGCATATACTGGTTTACTAGGCTATTATCCCAAATAAAAGCATCATGGGTGGCACCTCCATATTTTGCATTCACATTTAAAATACGGCATTCACTGTCACAAACCTACAAATAATTTTTTGTTAGTTTTCAAATAATAACATAAAATATCAATGTACTTAATTTAATACTTAGTTCAAAATTCATCACCATAATCATTATCATTACAGCCTATTAATGTCATAGTTATGGCGTACCTAGTTGCCCGCAAATGGATTGGCAACCGCAGTTTTTTCATTTATTAATTATTATGAAAGTGTTGTTACCCATCTCCTTCCCTCTGTTGCCTCTTACGACTAGAGAAACGGAAGATATGGGGTAGTGGATATTCCCATATCGCCACTACTCATTAGATTACAAGCTACATGGAGTACCTTCAAATTAAACTTACAACTTGTACATTAAGGGAATGAAAATGCTTTCTGCAATAAAATAAGTGTTCAATTTCTTTTTGTGGTGTAAATATGCGGAAATGTGATCCATCTATGCAGCCAATGACACCCGGTATCTTATATGTAGTCAAAAATCTGTGAAAAATAATTATTTTTTTAATTTAATTCGACTAGAGAATTTAACAAAGTTAAAAACACAACATTTTAAGTTTGTAAGTACTTTTGCTTAATGACGTCTCTCTCAGCCCTTGAAGTGGGGAACTTGATAAAATTGTTGCATATTATTTGGCTGTTAAGTGCCTCCGTAACTTGAGAAACACATTTGCTAACACTTGTTTGGCCTAAATGTTTACCCATACCAACTAAACGTTGATATGAGCCCGTTGCGTAAAATGATAAAGCACAAAGAACCTAAAACATAAATGAAATAAATAATACATTTTAGGTCACAGAATAACTACGACAGGTACATAAACTTTGAGCATTGTTTTATACCTTAAGCTCTAAACTTATTCTTTTACTATCTCTCAAGTTTGTTTTAGAGCGAAGTTCATGACAAAGGTATATAAATGCATTTTTACTCAATCTATATCTTTTTTTTAAACTCCAATTCAGAAATATCCATAGGGTCTTCAGTTCGTCGAAGAAAAACGCGTTGTGTAACACCACTGGAATTATTTAGATATATTTAATTTAAACTGCTATAAAAAATATTACTAATACATAAAATAATTAATTTAAGGGAATTATATGTACCTTAATTCTCGTCTTTGTTTTCTTGCCTCGACTGCCAAACGCCACGCGAAATAATAAAAAGCCGTGGATCTCATTCTATTTCTTCTTAATAAAAACATTTTAAACTAAAATCAACGAAGGACTTAGAGAAATTTAAAAGTAAGACTTCACGATAGCGTTCTCACCGTAAAAATGTCGGTGAGAATGATTTCGTAGTTCTCTACAGTGTATAGACGATAACGTACGTCAAAAAAAGATTCGTGCTGCCGATTCCCATACATTTTGTGTCTTACTATACGTTAAACTATACGAAAGCGATACGTAACGTAGCGGTAGATGTTCGTGCTTCTAAATTTTAGTTCCAAATACGTCCACGGAGCGCTGTTCAAATTCCCATACAAAATTTAACTGAAACTAAACTGTGGCGTAAACTATACGATAGATCAAAATATTCGTGCTAGGGGTACAGGCCCCGGGTTTGATTTTTCTTTCAAATAAGTTTTAGATGCAGCCCCGGAGTCAGGAAGTTAACGGTGATCCCTCTGCCTCGGAAAGCACTTACAGCCGTTGGTACTGCTCCTAATCTCTCTTCGTTCCTGTCATCATCTGATTATGTGAATGAGGGTATAGAGAGTGCACCTGTGCTTGCACACTCTCGACCACTATAATTTTGTACTTCGCTGATGGCTACTTAACGTTGAAACTGGCCGCCGTGCCCGAAATTCAGTCTTCGATCGAACTAAGATTCGGTCTTCGGTCTATAGATCTATATATACTACTAATTATTAATTATTTATTTTACAGACCGCAAATTCGTTTTTTATTATTTCACAAATTCGTTACAGGTAACAAAATCTGTTATTGTTGCCGGTGGGGTCGAGCCGGGATTTCTTCACTGCTGAACATAGGCTTCTCGCGTTATGCTTTGAGAGTAAGCGGGTTGGTAACCAAAGTTTTTTTTTATTTTTAGTCCTTATTACGAAGACGCTGCTGCGTATCTCCTGATTTGTATCTCTCTCGCTTTTCACGATACCTAAATATAAATGATAGACTTACACCGCCACTTCCATATATTCTCTACAACACTCTGTCTTTCTGTATATGTTTGAAAACCATCCAACGTCATAATTTACACCTTAGATGTTTTGTATCATAAGATCCGCATTTGTATTGGAGTGAGCTCTTCAACTTGTATGTAACAAGTGTTTCACGTATAGTGATCTTGTATATTAAGCGTTGCAAAACGGTTGCGGAACCGATTTTAATACATTACCAATGGACGAGCTTACGTGAGCTTGTACATGGCGATATAATTATAGTGGTCAATATATTATTTTGTTGTCCGTTATATTTTTTTTGTAATAGAAAAATACGAACGCAATCGCGTGATTTGATGCAGTCTACAGAATCAATATTTAAATTGCTAATAAAAATTTTAGTCATATTTAGATTACCGTATTACCGTGTAGTGGCAATGTCAGAATATCCACTACTCCATATCATTCCGTGGATGTTGTAAGAGGCGACAGACGGAAATAAATCAGGAGATGGGTAGCTGTGTCTTTCTAATAACGACTAGAAATAAAAATTGCGGTAGTCAACCCGCTTGTGGCAGCTGTGACAAATATTCCTCTGAGGTAATCTATGGAGGAGACCTAAGCACAACAGTTGAATTTAATAGAATGTAACGGTATACACAGATGTATATTCGTAAAAAAAGTAAAGTAAAGTTACAGCCTATATACGTCCCACTGCTGGGCTCAGGCCTCCCCTCATTTCTGAGAGGGTTTAGGGCAAGGAAGTGTCCGCCGCGCTGCCCAAATGCGTGTTGACGAACTTCACATGTCTTCGAAATATTTTTTTTCTTATTCCTCAGACATGCAGGTTTCCTCACGATGTTTTCCTTCACCGCCGAGCACGTGGTAAACCAGCACTTAAAATTGCAATTAACAATTTCATTGGTACCGGCGGGGATCGAACCCGGGTTACTCTCGCGTTCTGTTATATTTACAGCGAGCGTTAACCACTGAGCTACCACGGCTCTTCGTACTGTATATTCGTAGTACGCTGTAACCACGCTGTAGCCGTTTATGTCTCCAGTACTAATAGGGCAGCTCGATCAGTGAAGGCCCACTCACCTACAGAATACTAGGATAGCAGAACAACTAGGTGTTTTGTGTGGTGTGTGACAAGAATCATTCATTCATACCAGCTATATTATGGTTGTAGCACGAATGGGTCGGGTCAACCGGAGAAGTCAACATTTACGGTGCGTTGGTGGCATGACGTAGTAATCTCGATCAACGCAAATGGTACGTTTGTGGCAATGACCCAATTCATTAATGAACTGGGAATTAAAAGAAAGGGGAATGAAAGTGAACGCAAGTAAGACGAAAGTGATGGTTTTTGAAAGAGAAGAAAGCA